CCGGAGGGCCCTCCCCGCCGCGGCGAGGCCCATTCGGTCCTTCTTTTCCAGCAGTTGAAGAACTTCCGACGGCGCACGCGGCATCTCGTCAAGCGCCAGCTCTACGAGGCGGAGGACATCGAGGACGGCACGAGCCTCTCGTCCCTGATGTTCCCCTCCCACGTGCGGGACATCCAGCACGGCGTGCGCGAGGCGATGGGCTTCGCCATGCCCGCCCCGGGCGGCGCCGGGGGGTTTTATTTCCCCGCCCGAGAGCCCCCCCCGAAGGCCCCGGCCGCGGTGCCGAACTTCCTGCTCAACAGCCTCGTCCACCCCCCGTCGTTGGCCCCGCCGCTCGAGGTGGGGGTGCGGCTGGGCCGCCAGCTCGGCGGCGCCGGCGTCGCCTGGACGGTCTGGCAGTGGGGCTACCGCTGGGAGGGGCTCCGCCGGCCCCGCCCGGGCCGGCGGGAGGGGCCGCGGCCGATCCCCTGCCCCCTCAGCGGGACCACCATCGCCACCGCCGCCGCCGCCGCCGCCGGCCTGGGCCCCGCGGGGGGCTTCGACGGCCCCGGCCAAGCTTCCTTCTCCGACGACGGGACGCTCGGGTCGGAGACGGACGGCGGGGACTTCGGGGCCGACGAGGACGCCGTGGGCCCGACCTCCCACCCGGCCGTGCGGGTTTGGCTGCCGGAGCCGGACCTCCACCCGGCCCCGCGGTTTTTGCGCTTTGACGACTAGGCCGCCCCGCCACGGCCGGGTTGGGGTGAATTCACCTTCGCTGGGGTGGGAACCCCAACGCACCCCGCACGGCTTCGACGCTGAATCCACTATTATGGGTGTTCGCGCACCCCTACTCTTCACATCTTCAACGACGCTACGAGCCTATCTATATACCGTGTCGATCTACCGATACATTCTTTTCAAACATATAATACCGTAATTTATGTATTGCGTAAAGATGCCGTTTTTTTTTTGGGGGGTTTAGGTCTCTCATAATTTAGATTTTTAGATGCGAGCACAGAAGAGAAGCTGCAAAATAAGCCACGATAAAGCAAAATTATCTAATGGCCAATTTTTGGTGCGGCGAATGTTTGACACACGCAACATCCTTCTCTTTATACAGGAAAGAAAACAGACTATCCCCATAAATTATACATACACGCGGGAGCAACCTCGCCATTTCTTAATATTACAGTTTCTAAATAAACCGAAAGGTGGGGAAAAATAACAATAACACTGTGTGTTTACTCCCTAAATTGTACACACATGAAGTCCCTCTGTATAATTCTCTAAGTTAAGGATTTTCATCGTGTTCAATTTTGATACTTTCCATAGCGCATTTGCTTTCATGACTGTAAACCATTGGAGATGCAATTGCGCCTCTTCTTTTGAGGGCGGCCATCAACAATATTTGCTTTGTTTGGTGATTCCTCGGTGGGGAGGGGAGGGTGTTATGGCTTTACGGGACTTCTTTCGCAGTCGGGGGATTCATTTAAACGCGACGGGGGTGATGGGGTTGGCGGCTTACAGGTTCCCAAAAGGTTTAGGGGACTTTAGTTATTTTTCACAGTGCTTTTTCTATTTGACTTCCCCATTATAGATACTCTGCGACGTGCGGTTTGCAGTAGAGTGTATTTTTCCTTGCTAAGGTTCTGCCACCGCACTGCGGATTTTTGGATCGGCATTTTTTTATTTCCCTGAAACTGGATTGCTATAAGATTTTGACGCAACCCTTATCAATATTACTCTCTTCTCGTTTTTATGTCTTTTGAATACACTTTCCGAGAGAAATGAAAGCCACCGCTCTTTCCACCCCTCCCCCCACAAAAAGGAGTTCCCGTTAGATGTTCCACGGCGCATTCATCCACCGGTCTCTCTTGCGGGCCAACCCCGTCCTGCGGTCCGCCCCCCCCTCTCCGCCATCCCCGCACGCCCCATCGGGTTTTTTTGCGTTTTTCAAGCAAAAGTTCAACGACCTCGAGCTTTATCGCGATCGCGCGCTGGACAGGCTGGCGGCCGTGAATTCATCGACGGGGCGGCCGCGCTTTGCCGTCGGCCCGGCGGGGTTTGGCGGGCGGAATGTGAAAGACGGTGATCCCGACGGACGTTCGCGCGATTCGGCAAATTCCCCGCGCGCGAGGGGGGATGGCCGGGCCTGTCCGCGCACAGTGTTGGTGGTGTCGTGTTCGAACCCACGCGCCCTGCAGGGCGCTCGCGACGCCAGGGCGGATTGCGTGATGTTGGACCTGGCGAGCGGCCTGGGGTCTTCCCTCAAGCGCGAGGCCCGGGATCGCCTCCACGACTGGGTTCGCGAGATGGAAAAGGCGAAGGAAAGTGGGGGGTGCGCAGACAAACGATTGATCGTTCGCATGAATTCGCCCGAGTTCGACCCCGCCGCTGCGATGCTCGACTTGGAGATGGTTGGGATACTCGGCGGGGGGATTGAGGGGGTGGCGATCCCCAAAGTCACCACCCGGACCTACGATTTAATCCACAATTACGTCCACCCGGATCACAAGTTATGGGCCGTTTTCGAGCTCCCCCTTTCACTTCTGCAGGCCCCTACAATTTGTTTAAGTGGGAAATATGCCTGCGCGGTCATCGGCTATGACGGCCTCGCGGCAGGGCTGCGTCTTCCATCGCGGATGGTGGGGAATGCGGGCCGGGTCGGACCCGGCGCGTCCGATTGCCCAGAAGGACGGCAAGCGGGGCATTTCCTTGGCCAAAGTTCCCCTCTTATGCTCGCGGCGAACCACGTTTTGTGGAGCGCGCGGGCCGCCAACATGTCTGTCATTGATGGCGTCTTCCACGACCCCACCGATACGCGGGGCTTCCGGCAGGACCTCCAACGCTGCCAGGCCCTTGGGTTGGACGGGAAGTGCGTGATTCATCCCGACCAGATCGCACCCACCCACCAATCGTTTATCCCGAATCCGGCGGAGGTGGCGTGGGCGGTGCAGGTCAAGGCGGAGGTCGAGCGATCCGCGGACGACGCCAACCCCCTCGAGGAGATGCTGAGCGAGGGCCTGCACGCTCGTCGGGCGGACCGGGTCTTGGAGCTCCACAAGATGGCAGAGGGGGAAAGACAGGAAGGCGAGGCGGCCGCCTCGCCAGCCGCCGAACCTTCTTCTACTTCGTTCTTTAGGGAGGACTTGGATTCGTCAACAAGTGATAATTTTAATACAATTAGGCGAAAGTCGCGTCGTGGGAAGCCTGCGGGTCATGGCTCTTTCCCTTAATTGATGCGGGTTTTGAATCTGAGGGCGACGTACCAAGGAGTGTGTGGGATATGACTATTATCGTACAAAAAAGAAGGTTTATTCTTTTTTATTTTCAAAAGAAGGACAAGGAAGAATGTCGAGATGGGTCTTCACAGTATAATTATGACCATACGGTATGCTCCTTCACGCAATGATATTAATGAAACAGTGTGACGTAACGCTGATGGATTTTGGAGGTCGAAACTGAACGAGTACGCTTACTGTATTTGACTGACAGAACAATACCGTGAAGGGTATTCTTTTATTAGCTGTGTGTTTTATTCCCATCAAAGGGAAAAAAAAGGTGAAACATATGAACGGATCAGCGTTTTGTGTACGTGTGTGCTGATATTCTAGAGTACATGACTGGTAAATAATCCGGTAGAAAAGTCAACACTATTAAAGTCTTCATTTTCCTCATACCTAAACCCATATTTTACTTTTTTATTTATTTATTCTATTCTTTCTTAGTTCGTGGTAATCATCACAATCAAAAAAGTGGAAGGTTAAATATACCACTAAAAAAAAATGCCTGCTGAGCTTGCTTACAGTCAAAATTCTAATCCATCATCAGTCCTCGGGACGACTAATCCGGATGGCACTCCCCTACAAGGTCCAATCTGCACTTGTCATTCCTGTGGTGCTGTCTTTACGAGGTCAAGTGCACGATTTTGCTCCAAGTGCGGGGCAAAGAAAGGAAGCAGTGCCGTAAAATTTGATCGCCATTCTAACATTGTCTCTAATGACTTCATTGATTCTTCAATCTCTATCAAGGAGTTCCCTAAAAATATCACGCTAGAGAACGGTGATACGCCGAAATCAACCCCTACTATCAACACCGATCCCTCTGGAAGACCCGAGGATAAGGCGGCGACGCACAAAGCCAATCCCCACACCGTTTCTTGGGAGGCCTCGGCCGTCAAGAAGGACGAGGTCCTCTCTAAGAATAGCAAAGCCACCGTCAAAAACAGCTCGCCCAAGAAGAAAATAAAGCGCAAGAAGAACTCCCGGGGGTCGTTTGGGCAAAGCGCCAACGCAACCGACTTGAGAGGAGGGACGGACCCCATTTCGACCCCGGCGGAGGGGGGCGCGGCGTCCTTTTTGAGTGAGACGGAGTCCCCGAAACTTCGCGGGGCCGACTTCTCCGCCACCGACGATTCCATAGGCTACAACATCTCCAGCACCATCGGGGTTTCCTCCACCGACGAGGCCCAGTACAACATCTGGGCCACCCTAAGTCCGGAAAATCTCACGCCGGAGATGCTCCAAACCCCGAACGCGGAGATGCTCAAGTCGTGGCGAAAAGGAAATTTGGTGGGCCGCGGCACCTACGGCTCGGTGTTTCTCGGATTGCTGCCAACTGGCGGCTTTCACGCCGTCAAGACGGTCGATATATCGCAAAAAGGCTGCTTAGATGTTCTGAACTTTAATGCGAAGATGTTGGTGTCGTTGTCGCGCGAGATCAACATCATGCGCCGCCTTCGCCATCCAAACCTGTGCGGCTTCACCGGCGTTCTTTTCGATCCCGAGGCCTCAAGTATATGTATTTTCATGGAATACATCGGCGGTGGCTCCTTGGCGAATATTATCCGGCGTTTTAAACCCCTCCCCATTCCCGTTGTGCGCAGTTGGACCAAACAACTACTCAGTGGGCTGCTTTATCTGCACTCCCAGAACATCATGCATCGCGATATTAAGGCGGATAACGTCCTGGTGGACACCAATTCGGACCCGGAGAGCGAAACGCAGATCAAGTTGGTGGATTTTGGCGCCGCGCGTAGGCTGATGGATGCCTTTTCCCAAAGCCACACCCTCATCGGGACGCCGTATTGGATGGCGCCGGAGGTGGTCAGTATGTCTAATTTCGACACCGGCTATAGCTATAAGGCTGATGTCTGGTCGGTGGGGTGTACGGTGGCTGAGATGTTGACGGGAAAGCCGCCGTGGCCCTGCCAGTCGAATGCCCCGGCTACCATTATTATGATCGCATCGTCTAAAGGTCTGCCCACGGAGCTTCCGAAGGATGAGGCCACGCCGGGGTGCTATGATTTTATGCTCCAGTGTTTTGAGCGGAACCCGGAAAAGCGACCAACGGTGGAGAAGCTACTGCACCACCCATGGATACGGGGGGAGGTGGATTGACCGACAGAGATGTAGGGAATGCTGAAAAAAAAAACCCATGGATAGAACAGTCAGTTGATCACTGTCATTTTAACGAACTGTGGCGATGTAATGGAAAGCTTGAATGCTATATATATATGCATTCATAGGTCTTATTTTTTACCCTTTTATTTTTTAGTTCTTTATTTCATTAAAAGCATCATGTAAATGCATGTTCCAATAAGTATATATTTTTCCACCGAAAAAAGAACATTGGAAGGGATTAGTTCTACAGAGCGAATACATTTTTCTTGAATATATTGCTAGACTCAGAGCTTATAAGGAACAATAATGACTTTAATCATAGTGAAAATGCTTCTCAATTAATATTTCATACAGTAAGCATATGAGTTTTCTGGTGTCTAGATTTTTTTGTCTTTCTAATTTCTTATCCACTGTGTGTCTTCTTTTCGACATAAAGATCTTTTAGTCTGTGTACGTGGTAGTTTTTACTCCCCCTTTTTTTGGTCCATAACTACGATTTCTAGTCTATATTTTTTTTATTCTTTAGTAAAGTTTCATTTTCTATGCATACTTTGAAGATTTTATATCGAGCCTACTCCATTATTCTTGCACAATCTCAATTTGAAAAAAAATGTCAGCGGCGGAATATGCGTGTTTCGGGTGGCGGTACAGTAGCCTCCATAAGGCGGAGCACTGCCTCTGCCCGTATGTGTAGCACTAGCATTACCCCTAACCAATGTTTTAGAATCCACAACATTGCCACTCCATTGAAGGTTCATTTAGGACACTTTTGTGCAATGGAGCCGATCCGTCCTTTCTCCACCTCCTTGACCTCCACCAACACGCTGAGAAGGTCAATCTCTTTATCGAGAAGCGGTGTAAAGCCCAAAAGTCGCCCCAAGAGGAACCGAAGCGAGAGACGAGGGCCCGATGCCCAAACACGTAATGTCCTCAAGACAGATCTTCAAACACCAAAACCATCTTTGGATTTAAACCATGATAATGATAATGACAGTAGGGGACGTCCTGCCACACGTACACCAGATTCCATGCCGTCTTCCACCACGCCACCCGAAAAGACGGCGAACACACCGGGGGGGATGGGTTGGGACTACGAAATGGTGGACCCAGTCACCGGCAAGACTTCAATTGATTTGCTCTACGAGTCCCATTTAGATCGAATTCAGCAGATTCTCGAGAGGCCATTACCACCCATGCCCCCTGATGGTCATATCAACCCCGATTTTTTTGTGGGGTTTCTATATTACAATTATCGTCTTCGCTACCAGTATCGCAGCACCATCGCGCAGGAGCTCCAGCTTCCGGTGCAGGCGGTGAAGCTTTCGGTGGCTTGGAGTGGCCGCTTTGACGTATCGCGTTTTAACCAAGTGCAAAAGGTTTGTGGGATTTACCTGGATCGCGGGTTATTGCCTGGTGCGTCTTCCCATTCTACGGGGAAGGCGGGGCCGCAGGACGAGACCGATTCCCGACTGTCCGACGCCATTCAGGAGCGCATGGCGGCGCTAATTCAGGCCATCAACGCACGCCGCACGCCGCACCTACTTCAGACGCAGCTCTTTCAAGCCAGCAGTGCGATCCCCGAGGTGGAGTTCGCGCTAAGCCGGCGGGAACATCGCTTGCGAACGCACCTTTATCACTGGATCCACCCAAACATTTTAGGCAGCAGCTTAGCGGTAATTGTGCAGGGTGGGGACCTTGAGCTCTACCGGGCCTATGCGCGGCGAGGGTCCGGCCCTGTGGATCCCACCCCGAGGGCGTCTTTCGATGGCCCCCCCACCCCGGCCTACGCGGAATGGCTCACCGGCGAGATCGACGCCTCGGCGCGGCAGGGGCGCTTTGTGGACCGCCACTGGCTTGGCCAATTTCACAGCCGGGAGATCATCCCGCGGCGACTTTCCCTGCGTGGGGTGGCGGCGCTGGTCACCTGGGCGATACTGCAGGGCGAAGTGGGCCCGCTGAGGCTGCCGCGCCATCCGGAAGCGTCCCTGGCGGAAAAGAACGCAGGGGCCTCCCAGGGGGGGAACCCAAGTGGGCTCTCTCATGAAGAGGAGCCGGGGGCCGCCGCCACGCAGGACGAGGGGCTTCTTTCCGAGGCTCAGGTGCGATTACTGGAATACTGCCGCGACCACTTACAGTCTGGGGTCCAGCGAAACCAAATGGAGCCTGAACCACGGACTGGGGAGGAGAAGGGATCGGTCTCCTCTCAAATGTTCTCAGCCGAGGCGTGTTTGTTTGGTAATGACGACTTTATGCATGGATTGGAGCAAAGCCTGCAGTCGACTGCACTGCAGTGGATCTGTACAATAAGGCGCGCACTTTTTCTGCATGATGAGGGGACATCAGTTGCTGACGGCTTCACTTCTTCGGGAACTAGCAGCATCTCACTGCCTGCTCTCTTTGTGCATCGTGCTTATGCAGGTGGGTTGGTGGAGATGCGCTACTTAAGAAGTAATAAAGCAGCCATGGATGCACTCTTACTGCATCCCAATGACATTGTCATGAAAAAAGCCTTTGCGAGACAACTTCGCAATGGCTACCAAAGGCTTCGAATTTATGAGGAAATGGATACTAGTCAATCGTGTGGGTAGAGCTCGCTTTATTTCCAAAAAGTTGGTGTGGTATACGTAAAGGAGAGGGAGAGAAGGGAGGGAAAGAAGAATACCATTTTTTCAACAAAAATGAAGTTTCAGCGTCAATTTTGGCATTTGTTCTTTATTTTTTTAAATGTAGCACTCAGGAAAAAATTACCGCAAGACTTCCTCCCTCTAAAAAATGGAAAAACTGATCATGTCAACTCTGGGTGGATCTAAGAACAGTTCTCATTGCCTTTTTTACAGGATTACGAACATCACTCAAAAAGAGAAGATTTTGTCTTCTATCTAAAATTTTTAATAGTTTAAGTCGTGGGGGTGTTTCATCGAATTTCTTCCTCTGCGTCTGTGATCTTTTTTTTTGTTGTGCAATTCTGGTCCTGTAAAAAAGAAAACTTCAATCGAAATGTGAAAACATGTATCCCAAAGCCTTCTCTAGAAGAAATAACAACACATCGACATCTAAAATATCTTTTGGATTTAACTCTTCTTTTTTCTTAGGAGGCAGGATTCTGCACATGTTTAAAAATCAACAAAGTTCTCCCAACAACAAACAAAATAGCATTGGTCCTACCAAACAGTCAATAGGGGCGACTAAAGTACGGGCACATGTTGCGCATACTATGCTTCAAGTTGGCATACCCCCGCCACCCCTTACTAAGGACAAGCCATGCCTGGATCGTTGCCTGAGAACACGGTACTTGCCCACTCAAATCCCCTTTTCCGCCTTACCCTGCTCAGCGTACCTCAGCGCCGAGGACGTCAAGCAGATTGCGGAAGTATTCAAATCATTTAGTGTATTGCCTGATACTTTGCGTTTCAATATGAACAGGCGCAAAGTGACTAATTTCAGTTCTTTCCAACGCGAGCATTTGGTTGATTCGTTCACCCCAACAAATGATATTGTGAAGAACACTGGGATCTCTGAGGTAGCGGTTCATTTGGAGCAACGATCTGGCGGCGGACCACTTCAATCCACGAATAGAGGTGGCATGATAGCGGAGAGTCTTGGAATGGAGTATCCACTAAAAGGAACCATGCCCGATGACCTTGCTATTAGCAAAGAGTGGCTTGTGGAATTATTGCTTGCGTCCATGGCTCGTAACTATAGCAATGAGCAGATAAAATACTTTTCAATAAATCGTAACTGCAACGTCGCGTCAAACACTGGGACCGTTGGACATCCATTTCATCACAGCGGGAAGTTTGATTCGGGCTGTTTGAATAATTTGCAAGAATCATCGCACTTGATGCCCATTGGTATGACCCAAGGGGATAGTTCTCTATTCGGAATGACTGCGCCGAAGGACATCTCTTCGTCTCTTGTTTTTCACAAATTTCGTCGCTTTCAACAAAAACAGACCGTATTGACTCAGTTTAGACGCGATTTGCTTCGCTGGATCGAACCGCTCCAGTTGATAATAGACCCAGATCATAACCATGGAATCAATGAGCGCTGCAAAGATCAGGTGGACAAGCTTCGCTTTTTTCATTATTTGATGCGAATTCACCAGATTAAGGTGGATGATTCTGTGGGCTTGTTGAGTACCACGTCCACTGTCCCCCACGTCATGACGGCAAGTAAGGGCGTTTTAGCGAAGTTAAGGAAGCAGGAGGGTAGGAACGGAAAGGCTTCCACCAAACCCTCAGTATCTACGCGAACATCTGACCCCATCTATATGGGTACCAATAAATCTCTGACTTCTTTACATGAAACCTTTGTTTCAAACCGTTTGGCTTCAAAGAGATTGGGTGCCGATGCTGCTCTGCTGAACAGTTCATCAGACACGAATAGTCTCAGCCGAAGGTCAAGTGCAGAGACATTAGAGGGGTCTGAGAGCTCGTCCAAGTTATCGATTACCGGTCCTTTGAATGGGATCAGTAACACTAGCAACATCATTACAAAGGACACAAATGACCACACCAACTCCACTTCTGGAGAGTTGGACTTTTCCCATGCAAGTAATGATTTTTCTGCCGCTCAAACGACAAGGGAGACGAATGTGCCGATTTTTCTGCCAGATGATGATTCTATTAAGCATGAAAATTCTGCTCAGTTGATTTACTATGGCGAACAGCCCGACGGCTCGATGTCGCAAACCTTTAAAAACATCCTCGCAACTAGTAAATTTTGGGAGCAGTTTCTGTTGGAATGGGAGCGCAATGCTGAATTAGCCAGTGCTTTAAGTGAGAGCACCAATTGTAGCTCTAACGGGGCACCATTACGGCGAAATAATAACTGCAAACGAGCGGTGGTGTGTTGGCGTGATTTCAGCAATAATTTAATCTTGCCGGCAGACTGCTTACCCGCCAATGCTCTCACGAATGCCGATGCCTTTCCTATGGACGAAAAAAACATAAACAATATAGGAAATGACTTCTCATCTAGGTACTTTTGCAATGACGACACGACTGGCAACGTCCGAGGGGATGCTGTCTACAAACGTGTTTTGAGAGTGAGACTTGAGAATAGGACTCATGGCGCGGGTGGATATCATGATCGCCGACACCGCTTCTTAGCTGGAGACAATAACCGATCCAACGAGGATAATGACTTCACACAGGAGAGAGATTTGAAAATGGACATGATGCATTTGGGCAACGCACAGCAGCGCCGTCGCAACGTTCGTGTCTTTAACGGCGCCGCTGACCCCGGTAGGGGATTTATCGCCGCGGCAAATTCGATTAAAGGCGTTGCCAGCGCCGCCGCGGCGGAGTCGGATACCCTCGCCGAGGAGCTTAAAGCCCTGCACATGCAGTCGGCTGACCATGTGCTCGTCTCCACCGTGCACCACCGACTCATAACCAGTTCTAAGGATGGGCTGCTGAAACTCTGGGACAGCGACTGGGGGAATTTTGTCGGCAACTTGCTCAATGTTGGTACGTCGTGGGTGCTACACATGCAGTTCCTCCATAATGAGCTGTACCTCTTTATTGCCACCTCAAACGCGGAGCTGACGGTGCTGGGGTTCCCTTCGGGCGCTGTACTGCAAAAATACCGCGGCTGTACTACGCTAGTAACGGCCCTTAGCACTGTTGTGCAACCTGACTTAAACGGCACGAAGCGTTTTGGTTTGAAGCTAGGCGAGTGCGGCCCGCATCGATTTGCATATCGTAGCGGGATGCCTGCAAAAGTTTTTAACAACAGACTGAAGGATTCACGGCAGGTAATATCTGAAACCAGACTCAACGCCATCCCCATTGAGGGCTTTGTGGGTCCTACAGCTGTTTTCTTGGATCCTATAACCTTAGTTTGTGTCTTTGGTACAGCCGATGGCACAATTGGTGGCTTTGATCTTTCTCAATATCTTAAGAGTTCAAGTATATTGACCTCGATGAATTTGAATGAACCAATACCCTTTTTTGACAAAGTGCAAGCCCATGAGCCGAACACACCGGTTATGGGCCTCTGCTATAACGATTCTTTTCAGTATGTGGTGTCTTGTGGGCGGGATGGTAGCGTGTCTCACATTCCGCTTAATTCAGTTTTAAACATAGAAAGTTCCTCAAACATCAGCCGTACCTTCCAACGACAAATAGACACCACCTCTTCGCACTATTTTTTTGGCGATGCAACGTCTAGCATCAGTTCAACTCGTCATACACAACTTGCGGCGTTCTGCCTTCCGGCGCGTCTAGTTGCCACTGTACACAGTGATCGACGCGTTTTATTATGGAGCATGGGCCGCAATACCGTTGACTTGGTTCATCGACTTTCACAAGAGACATATGATATTGTCAGTTTGTCTTTTATGCCAAAAGACCACCTTATTGCGGTGCTTACGGCGGATTTGGTCATTTCTATTTATGACTTTAAAGGTTTCCGTCCCCTAAGTGTTATACATGTAGCGAAGTGCAACGAATGCAACATCGAAGATTTATCATTCATGACCCTACGGTGCCCTCAGGATGACGCAGATGGCTGTGTGGCGTTCTTTCCTGGGACAAAGGGACGACTAGTCTGTGCTTTACGTGGCCCTGTGCTTTTTGATCGCTCTGAAAACAGCTCGCTTGAGGACCCTTCTGGGGAGAGCAAACCAAGGGCTTTACCTACTTCTCCAAAATCAGAAGAACCAAAACTCAACCCAAAAACCTCGATTCTGGGGAAGCCACAGTCACCCACAACGCTTCCCACGCCTTTAGTTCACTCTAAAAAGACTGATACGCAAGAGAAATCTCGCAAGAATATCACACATCAGGGTGCAATTGTGGATATCTTACTGCGGCGTGTTCGCCTGAGTTCCTCTCCCACAGGTACGGAGGGTAGTGCTTGTGATAATGATACTAGTCCAGGCCGGTTCGAGCTGCATACATTTAGTGCTGATTGGTGGAGAGTGTGGGATCCACTGAAGGGTGAGTTACTGCGAGAGGTCAACCTATGCACCGAAATTCGTAAGCAGTTACCGATGTTTAATCGTCCCCTTATGACGGTTTGTGAATGGGGCACTGATGCTTGCACGCGCATTATCGCCGGCTCTCGTGGAGGGCAGGTGATCACACTTGATGCTTCCACTGGTGTTGTGAACAACGTCGAGGAGGTACTCGTCGCGCAGCGTTCTTTGACTGACAGTAAAAGGTTTGTGGATCGATTCCATAATACCCAAACTAGCCGTCGCGTATTAAATAAAAAGTCCCCATCATCTATACCCAACGTTGCGTATACGTCTCCTCCGACAGAGGCACTTGACACCGATAAGCGAACTTCAGCCCATCAACCGATTTACGATCCGGGCAATTTATTCAACTTGGACGCAACTGTGGTTTATCACTACGGGATGCACATGCTAGTGTGCGGCAGTAACCGATGTGTTTTGCGGCGGTACTTCACCAACGATGTCAATCCTAGCGGGGAGGAGCAGTTCATTGCAATGAACTTCCACCTCCCAGCGACGGCACGCACCACAATCACCGCTTGCTGCATCGTCCGCGATACACACATTTGCCTTGGTACTATGGACACTCGTTTATTTTTTTATCGTATGATAGACGGTAGCGAGCCGTACGCCGAGGAGCCTCTTCGTAGTGATATAGATATGGATGACGACATTTCTAATAGCGAACCGGAAATCGGCGCCGTGATTGGACTTTTCTTTCTTAATAGTTCAAACCAAAATCTGTTTGTCATAGTTCTTGATACGGGCGTAATGCACGTGTACTCATACCTGACTAACCGAAGCGTAGCGCGTTTTCGTCTCCACCCTGCTCACGAATGCCGCATTCGAAAGGTTATTTATCACAATAGTGACGCCCAATTTCTAATATGTGGCGATTCTCTTGGCCGTGTACGTGTATTGGATATTTCGGCATTCAAGTCCGGCACAAATGATTTTCGCTCCGCCATGAAGGAGCGGTTTGTGTTCCAAGGGGCGCCAGAGGAAGTTTCCTCTCTTGCCTTCTTCAGCCTGCCTACGACTTTACCATCGACAAAGTTCCAGGAGCAACCGTCCAAGCGTAGAAGCTTATCGTGTGCCATGGCCTGGAACGACAAGGGTCATCGAAGATCAACATCGGAAGGCGGCTTGACCATTTCTTCAGCTAAGGAGGGGGACCCAATCGTTTCAGAGAATTCTCAGGTCTTGACGGAAATGGTTACATATCACCCTGGATCTTCTACTAACTCGCCTTTTACTAAGCCCGTTAAAGTTGACAATCATACCTTTGGAAGTGTCAATCAGGATGGTTTAGTGGTGGTAGGAGCAGGGGATGGAAATGTGCGCCTTTTTTTGTTGCAGAAAAAATATGAACGCACGAGATCCCTTGGGCGATCCTCGATCCGGACATCGAGTCCGCTTGATGTAGGCTATTTTGGGGCGCGGGGGTCATCTTATGCCCGCCATTCGTTTGCGAATAATGGTAGTAATGAGTCGAACACAATTCCTGTGTCGGTTTCTTTGCTTACAAATGCGCCACCAATCCGCGACCATGAAAGTTTCAGCTCGCGAAGACGCCATCATTCGATTATCAATATATCGCATGTCGGGACTTTTGGTCTAGGTAAGTGGAACGCGATGAATCCATTAACCTTTCAGTGTGATTCTGCGTCTTGTAAGACAGGTGAAGGTGGAACGATACTAATTTCGTCGAGATGTTCGCGATCCTCATCTTTGGTAGTTCCCGAAGGGCAGGATGAGGGGTTTCTGGACGACTTACTGCTGCAGGCCAAGAAGAATGTCGAGTTAAACAGCCATGCGGTGCCTCAGGCATCGCAAAATGCCTTATCTATCGAGAATCGAACGCCTGGTTCATTTCATGTGTCTAAGAAGAATGCGTTTGATAATAAGAAGAGGGTTGGTAAAGCAAAAAAGATGGGCTTCAAGTTTGCTTCATTCCGGAAGCATCAGAGGAAGAGGGGTAAAAATATGGCGGCAACCTCGTCAATTCCTCAGCGAGCGCAACAGGAGCAGTATCAACACAGGGATTTTCGTCGGCGTGCCGCATCACAGCGTGAGATGAAACTCTTAGAGTCAATTTTACCACGCAGGTATGTTGCAATCAGTTTTCTTGCGTCTGTGGTAGTTGATGATTTGCCTACAGGGATAGTTCACACGAAGGATAAACTACTCCATAGGTCACTTATGTTAAATGGTGATTCTATGGACTGGTTTCTGTGCACGTTAAGAACTCGACGAAGGACGGGGAAGAAGTATGAGCGTAATGCATTGCTCAAGATGTATCCAGTTTCTCTGCTTCGCAAGATTGAAGTGATTCCTAATACTTGTAAGATACCGGACTATCATGAGGACGGAAGCCCAAGAATAATTCAATCGAAAAACGCTTTCAGTCGTCGTTGGGATCTTTTGTCCCTTAATTGTGGGGATTCTAACAAAGATATTGATATATACGGCACTTCTTTGAATTCTGAAAGAATACTCAGTAAAGATTCTTTCTCTGAGTCCATCAAAATGACTACTGTGGATACAAGTCAAGATTCTAGTATAGAGGAGGCTAAAAGAAATAGGTACCCTACTTTAGTGGACGCAATCTCTTCTGGAAACAACAATGAGTCAACTTCGTTGATGCAGGATAAAACCATCCTCGAGCCCAGTGATGGGGGTCATTCATCATTTATTACTGACTTGAATAACATCACGTCCTTCAAAATGGTAGAATTAATAAAGACAGATGACTCTTCTAATTTTATGACAGACTTACCCACATTGTGTCCTACAAACGCTTTCACCGTCGTACCAGAGGAGGGACAATCTAGATATTCTCAATTAAACGAACGTGATGTTGCGCTTAGTCCGTTTGACACTCAACCTACAGCTCCTACTCTGGTTCTGCATGACCCTGTAGAAGCATCTGTGATACCCAATGATTTCATCTTACCCTCTTCTCCACTATATAAATCCATGAATAGTGGTACTTTGAGCGGAAGGACTTTGCAGCACCGCGAATCGGGCATATCGGAAAGGTGCAACCTTGACAAACGTACTAGCAATATGAATAAGCCTGTGTTTGTCGGTGGCAGAGCATTATCTATTGTTGAAAACCTCACAACTTCAGTTTCCTCCTTAGCGGAGAATGTGCTACATAGTCCTAAATCCATTAATTTCAATGACAGCAGTTCTTCCTTTGTAAAGTATGGAACCAAGGACGATACGCACAACAACAACGCGTTGCGAGACCAGATTCAAACCGCACTCAGCGATTTGTCTGCGTCCGCGGTGGAGCAGCGTTATGAGCAGACCATTTTGGCGCATCTTGCTCACCAACTTGACCGTGTGCGACCATCTGGTCATGCACCAGGTGTTTTTACGAATCGCGTAAAGCAAATTTGGCAGCAGCGGGCCATTGAAGACGCATCACAGGCGATGATACTGAGTATTACTAATCCCACTTTGCGAAGCCGTGTGGGTAGTCCTCAAGTACCCGCATGTTCCACGGCAAGAAAAAATAGGTTTTCACCTGCGACGAGTAGTAAAATTAAAGGCTCTCCTAAAAAAGAGGTTAAGCAACAATGCTATTCTGGGTTGTTTTCTGTTCCTAATCATGCAATGGCTCAGAAAGACCCTGGTATTGGTTTAAATCTTGCTATTTTAACTCTTCCAACTGACAAGAAGAGTTCGATTGTTTCTGGGAGAGTGAGGAACGGCACAGCTGCTTCTGTGTCTGCGGCAGCAAAAGACAGTAAAAAGAATTTTGATAAGGCCTCAGTAATACCGGCTCATGAGCGGGTGTACCAAAAGCTGAGATCCTGGAGGCATAACCGGGAGCAAGAAGTGGCTGAAAGGCGTCGTGTTATTGAATACCTTAGTGGGCTGACAAGTAACAGTAAGGCGTCCAAACATTTCTCTTCCATGCCGAATCGATTGACTTATCTGCCACTGCTTTATGCGCAACAGACTCTTGAACCTGTGAATGTGCCAGCACCATCTGTAATACCTCGATCTAGTGAAGACGTGAAGTACCCCTAGTCGCATGGTTATCGAATGCCTAATTTTTATGTATAAGTATTCAACTGGAGGTATAATAGTGCATTATAGAATTTATTTTATATGTAAGCATAAACAAATATTTATGCGCCTTTACTTCTCTAGATGGCCGATATATATATATATATATATTTCCATCTAAGATGAGATATAAGCACTGTATATACAGGTTAATATATAATATGAGGGAAAGGGGAAGTACATGCCGCACTTATTATTTATTTATGATCGCACCTTTCCCTTTTTAGATTATTTTGTTCAAATCGCTTTACTATCAAAAACGTATCAGCTTTTGTTTATACTATAGCATATTTTTATTCTCTCTATCTCTTTATGCATGTTCAGTAATCCAATAATATTATAGAATGTAAATGCCCTGATCAATTTAATTTACTTAAAAGTAAAGCCATATTTTGTTGGTGTTGCGTAGTCGGAAAGAGGTCTCTCTTTTTCAATTTTTATCATCGAGAGATCTACTGATTGATGGAAGGAAAAGTCATAACCTTAATTTTGTTCAAGTATCTCACTACACGATATTCCCTGTCTATAGACCTAAGTAAAAGCATAGTTTTTATAATTTACCATTTGTGCCTGTAGTAAGCTACAACTATCAAATGGCATATTTGCTCCCCAATAAGGAACCGAACTCTGACCAAAAAACGAGGGTCAAGAACAGTACTCCAAAAGCGGCAAATTCACATACATCCTTGTCATTCTCGCCACGTAGTTTTCGTTCTTTTCTTTCCACTGCCGTTAAACAAAAATCAGTGTTTTCGTCCCCACGTTCACATGGCAATTATAGTGGCTCGCCCCATCCAACGCATGTTTCACCGAGCGAAGAAGCTTCTGTAACTGAGGCCCAGCTGTACGCCAGCGTCACCGATTTTACTGACATCATGGCGATTCTCCGCGCTCCTACCGTGCCACCGACAAAAATGGGGTTTTCCCACTCTCCACCGTTAAGCTTCCGACGAGCCCCTGTCCACTCGCCGGCGGAAGCCCTAACCCCAGGCCCGAACGGTGGTACCGGTGCGATATCTACGCCTTGCTCTTTGGAGACGCTGACGTTCCGCCAAATCGCAGCCGACAGCCATACCGGGGTGGAGATCTTCAGCGCGGCCGTCGAGGGCTGCCCCATCCATCTCATGCGCGCCAGTGCCATCATGCCCTGCAGTCCCGCCGACCTGCTCAGGTACATGGACAGCGACACGCGCTCGGCGTGGGATTCCCACTTTCTCCGAAGCCGCATCGTCCACCGGCTCCATCCGTCGCCCCTTGCCGGCACCCCGGGCGAGGCGGAGCCCGCGCGCGCCAAACAGACCAGTTTAATCGCCGTCCTCCCACCCACGGCCACCGCCCCGGTCGAGACGTCGCTTTCTCATTCCCTTTCGAACCCCCGCGCGGCCCCCTGGGCTGCGGCCGCCCCGCCTCATCGGGTTCACCAAGGGCCCATAACCGGCCCTGCGCCGACCACGGACGACTTTGGCTATTTGCCAGGCCAGCGTCGGGTTGCGGTGCATCACCTGGAGCTGAAATCCCCCATCCCGCTCATGCAGGATCGCGATTTGGAGCTTTTGATCTGCGAGGCGATCACCCCGGACGGGTGTGCGGTGATGAAGGCGTTTTCGACGCCGATGGGGATGGTGGTGCCGATGGATCCGACCCAAACGCGGTACGTCCGGGCGGCTGTCCTGCTCTCTGGGGTGCTGGCGCGACCATTGAGGCTGGAGCAGGTGGACCTCGCGGCGTCTTTACCGCTCAGTCTTCGCGGAATTGCCCAGCGGGATCTGGTGGACATCAGTGGCGGCGCCCGAAAAGAGTACTGCGTAGTGGAATATCTTGGGCTTGTGCATCCCATGGGGATGATTCCCCCTGTCCTCACCAATATGGTGATTTCGGCGCAGGTTTCTGTTCTGAATGAACTTCAGCGTTATATTGCAGGGCACACCATCTCCTCGGCGCGACCTTTGCTTTCACCAGCGATGCCGATGCGGAAGTCTGGGCATGAATTTAAAAACGATTCACATTCCCAAGCCACACCTACTGAGTCCTCCCCGTCAGTTTCCACGAATTTGGAGAAGACTTACAGTGATGAAGCATCCGCGGGACTGCTGAAGGATGCCATGGGGACTACGTCCGAAAGTACTCCTGATTCGCATGAAGCTTCAAAATTAGACGATACCTATCCTAATAGTCGCAAAAGTGCTTCGACATGTTTGCCAATACAGAACCTTCTGCCTGGGGGATTATCTCCTTCCGCTACATTAAATTGCGATGAGAAACTGAACAACACTGTAGCCGCTGTGGCTGAAAATCACTCTCCTACTTCCACTGACATAGTCCCGTCTCAGGGGGAGTCTCGTCTCCAGAGGACATTGTCTGTGACATCGTCTTCTAATTTATCGCTGCCAACTTCCACAGATGATTCTCAGAAAAAGGGCAAAACACGATTCTGGAGGAAGTATGTAAAAAAATCTGCTATTTCGAAGTTGTAGTTTAACTAGCACTACCAATAAGATGATAAGTCAACAGCTGCATATCCCATTTTTCTTGTTTCTATACACGTATTCTTTAATATGCTTTCAAAGTCAGCCAATGCACTCACGAAGTCGAAGATTACTATCGAAAATTTGATAGTTTCTCAATTTCGCTATAATTTATTATTATTTGCTTTATTTTGCTTTTACCTTCGGTGATGACAACATCAATAGAAAAAAATACCACTTTTCAAGCGTTCTTTGATAAAATTTAGAATTTTCTACATGTGAATTTGAATTGTATTACACCTTTTTGAAGTGTTGGGTTGCAAATATTTTCCTTTCTTGAAGACTGACACGTCGTTTTTTATTTTAAGCGATGCATTAATCAAAGTAAGGAGGTTTATTGTATGTATATATCTTATCGATATCTTCTGTTGACACTTTTAAAATACAAACAAATGAAGAGACACGTGCCACAATCCTTCCTGAAATACCATGTAGTATAAAACACTTGGTCAACACAATGTGTTTCAATGAAGGACAAGCTACCGCAAATACTTAAAAGAAATTTACACCACTCATGCTCTACAACTATTGAAATGACACCATACGGTAATGATTAAGAAAAATGAAAGGATTAAGGCAAAGTGGACAGCTTAATTTACAACTGTACTTTTTTTAGAGGTTTTATCATGTTGTTCTTTCATTCCATGGAATGCAGTTATCATCCTTATGATTTTTTTTGTTTTTCTTAGTTTAATTTTTTCACAACAGTGTCCTTGCCGAGAAGGGATATTTTATCTAAAACTCAACTTGTGTGATGAGTCTATGATGTTTCGGGAAAACCATGTTTTTTTTGCTTTCCTGTTGTAAATTTGTCGAGTTTTAAGATAGCATATCAAGATGAAAATGGTTTATCGATTCTTAAACTTATATCAATGATGATTGCAAGGGCTAGATACAAAACAACTTTAATTTCAAATTTCTCATTTCTTTTTTTTGGTTATTACAAAGTCCCAAGAGGCGTATTTGCCTCAATTTTTTCTTTTACACTTTCACAATGTTGTCCACATTTTGTTGGGTCCCTAAGGGCGCCATGAAGCCCACTTCAATCCTTTCCACAGACACAATTGACCAAGCGCGTGCGAAGCTTCACTATCAAAATCCAGAATATTTTGAAGAAGGCAAACAAGTGAATCGTCGAGGTCAGAAAGACTTAAAAAAGCGGAGTTCCGCACAAGCTGTCGGCCAAGGTTCTCATCGTCATGAGCCACAACGTAATGAACCCGATACCGACAATGAGGAGGGTGGCATTGACGACGACGATGGCGAGGCGAACATTGTAGTGAACGAAATGCTACGGGATATCGCCGGTGGAGGCGCTGATGCGATTTTGGACGAGGTTGAGTCGGAAGACGAAGACGAAATCGAGGATACTAAATTTAAGGACACCGATCTGGTTTTCACCGTTGGTTGCGCGGACCCCGACAACCCACGTGTGGAGCTTTACATCTACGATGAGCCCGAGGACAACATCTTTCTTCACCATGACATGGAAATTTCGGCTCTGCCGCTATGTAGCTCATGGCTCACTGACAGCTCCATGTCCATGTTAGCAATCGGGACGATGATGCCCTTCATTGAGGTATGGGCATTGGATGTGATAGACTCGGTAGGACCCGCGGCCTTCCTCGGGGGATGCGACGACGTATCTTCTAATTACCATAAGAAAAATATTAGGAAACATCTAAAAGCGGAATCGCACACGGAGGCGGTTTTAGCCGTGAAGTGGAACACCATTGCGCAGAACATCCTATCTTCTGGAAGTGCGGACCACACCATCAAGCTTTGGGATTTGAACCAGGCCACCTGTCTTGGGACCTACACCGAGGCCGAAAAAGTTCAGTCCTTGGACTGGCACCCGACGGAGGCGAACCAGCTGCTTTCAGGGGGCTTTGACGCCGTCATGGTGCTCCGGGATTGCCGCTATCCCAAGCAGCCCGCCTTACGCTTTACCTTGCCTGGGGTGGTGGAGCAGGTGGAGTTCCTCCCGCATGGGGGGGAGGTGGCGGGGGCGGGGGTGGTGATGGCCTCCACGGATGGCGGGGAATGGGGCGCGTTTGACACACGCAATCCCTCGCAGCCCCTGTGGCTTTTGCAGCCTCACAAGGGCGAGGTGGTTTTTGCGTGTTCGCGCCATGTGCGTGGGCTTTGTGCCACAGGAGGAAAGGATCGGAAAATCAGCCTCTGGGATTGTCGTCAGGTGGGGTCTGCGCCCACGTTGTGTGTTTCTCGGAACTACCGCACTGGGGATGTCTTTTCCCTCTCCTTTCATCCAAACTCGCCACATATTCTCGGGGCGTGCGGTGCATCTGGCGATCCGCTGGTGTACACAATGACCGATGATATTGGTTCTATATTTAAGAGCTCGTAGGAAGGGACAGGAGGGGACACACTAGAAAAAGGCTTGCGCGGGGCAGAGGCTGGAGTACGGAAAGGGTTCTTCAGTAACCACCACAACATTACCCCAGTGATACATTGCTTTACTTGTATATATATATAAATATAAATATTTTATAGGCACAGTGGTTTCATTTGTGTATCGTCGCAGGATTTCGACGTAGGTTATCCGATATACCGATACCAGCAAGCATCTTTATGGTAAGGATATCATCGTTAGGAGATAGAAAGCAGCTGCAGAAATGGACTTTTATGTGACTTATTCAGCGGATAATACTTTATATTTGTTAAGAATAATTTTGATAAGCCTTTAAAACGTGGAAACAATCTAAACCACAATCGTGATGAAAACTAATGGTATGATCTCGAGCGGAAGTGCTCATCCTTAAAAATAAATAAATAAATAAGGTGATCCACTTACTCTTCTCATTCATATTTACTTCTTAAAAATGAGTTTTGTTGAATTTTATTTTTCCTTTTAATCTACAAAGTATACCCTTTCTTGCATTCCTAGTAATACACAACGCTAGCCCAGTGCGACTGAAGCCTTTGTGAATTCATTAACTTACATAAGCTATTTGCCACTTCCCTTGCCAAAATGAAGGTTTACAGAGATATTTTCACCGACGCCGAGGTCTTTTGCGACAACGACCTTCCCTTGGACGTTGAAGACGATGTAGTGTATGTCATCGATGGCAAGTATATTGACATAGGTGGGGAGGACTATGGCATCTCGGCCAACGTGGATGAGGATGCTGCCGAAGGAGCTACCGGTGAGACTGCTGATGGCAAGCAGCGAGTGGTAGATATAATGCACAACAATCGGTATGTCGAGACATTCTATGACAAGGCCTCATATCTAGCTCACGTCCGTGAATACATGAAGAAACTTCTCAAAAATATTGAAGGTGATGACGCTAAGAAGGCTTTCCAGACTAATGCCGCCAACTTCGCCAAGAAGGTCATGAAGGAAATTAACGAGTACCAGTTCTTTATCCCAGATCGCAACGAAGAGGATCCGGATTCAGGCATTATCGTACTCTGCCGTTGGTATGGTGAGACACCCAAGTTTTACTACTGGAAGGATGGCCTCAAGGGTGAACGTGTGTAGAAGACTTGAAAGAAGGAGTATAATTTTTTTCTAAATTTTAATTATATTTCTTCATAATTAATAAACGGAAAGATGGTTAAAAACAAGACAAATCTAAAATAAAAGAATAATTTTTTTGTGTCAGATTTTAAGCTTTCCTTTAGGTAATAAATAGGAAGGAGTTGAATTCATGTTGTGTGAGTGTATATGTGCGAAAAAAGATCCCTGTATTCATTATGGACTGCATTAGAGTGCGATGAATGGAGTTTTATTATTTTGCATATATATATATATCTATGCTTATCAGCTTTTCAAAGAGGAAAAAGCGGAAATAACTAAGACCCATGTATGTAATGAAAAGGGTAATATATATCACTCATTTTTTCTCGCTAAATATACAGTCACCTTTGACGTTTTTCATTCCTTTTGTGAAAATTTATAAATAAGTAAATAATTAAGGCGTGAAATAGGAGAGAAGTTGACACAAAATAATTAAATAAAATTTAGGGAAAATTGTAGGTAAGGAAAAAAAATATAAACTTTGTTTTGTTGAGGTAGCGAAAATAGAGAGGATCTTAAATATGCTATGTCCACAGGGTATTGTAAGCTACCCTTTGCATTACTAAAAGGCATTACAAAAAGGTGGACCTTCTTTTTTCTTAACTTTCTAAATCATTGTTTTTAAAGGGTCCAATTTTTGAATTTCTTGATCAGCAAGGATCAGATGCTATCCCTTTTTAGACCCTTCCTTTTTTTCTTTTAAAATAATATGAGGTAACAACGGGGAGTTCTTTCTCTCTCTCCACATAACTTATGCTCTTTTGTCAATCCATTTAATCTTTCAATTTGGTTTTATTCCTTAATCCGATCTATTTCTTTTCTAAAAATGTTTATACATGAGTAGAAGGTAATTGGTTTATTTAGGATTGCACACGCCTGCGATTTTATTTTGAGCACGACTGAAAATCTCAGGATACATGAACGTGGAGTTGGACCCATCCTCACCACCGCAACCTCACGAGTCTCACTATACGTGGAATAGCATCCTCCTTGAAAGATGGCTTTCAGACATGTCTGAGGAGTATGTACAAGAAGAGAGTCGACAACGTTTGCGCAACGCCGTGGGGTTGTTTCCTTTACCCATATTACACATTCCGAGTGCGTTACACTTGTTGGATTGCGGTGAAGAGGTCCTGCGTTTGTTTGCAGCCTCAGAAATGACCACCACTGGACCGAAGTACTCCCCCACTCCGCTCAGGGCAGAAACCCGAATAAAATACGGCGGTGTTAATGTCGATGATAGAGAAAGTGCTGCCGCACCGCTGTTTGCCTCGCCTTTTCGCTTTGCCAGGACTGAAGCTTTTCATAAGCGATTGCGTGAACAGGCTAACAACAGGGATATCAGAGCCGTTGTGGAAAAACGCTGCCATGGATTCCATTCTGAAGAAGTTCTTGCTGAGTCGGCATTATCGCGGGCGGGGCCCAGCACGAGGGCTGCGCGGGGACAACGGAAGCCACAGAGACCGCCTTCCCCGCCGAAATCGTTTCAACCAGAGCTACAAGTGGGCGGTCTTGATCTCCACTCACGGCGAGGCATCAAGTCCAATATGCGGATGTCCATCGTTGGTGGTCAGAGGCAAGACCCCAACACCTATATCTTAGGGTCATTGGCTACTCGTATCATGGAAAACGATAATGTATTAAATGAGTTACTCCTCGGAGACGTATCGATGTGCTCTGCTGAAGATCCTACAGTCCCTTCGTCACATTTGTGTCCAACATCAGTCACTACGAGTATTGCCTGCAAGGGGGACGTGACTGCGAACGGTACACCACAAACACTACCCTTTTCTTTAGGTTCGTCAACATTAAAGGAGCTGCGGGACCGGTGCGCGGCCAATGGTCTGTTACTTTCAGGAACCAAAAGCGATCTCTACCATCGCTTAATGCTATTCCAAGAGCGCCAAAGGCCCGATATGTGGACAGGGCTGCCGCACCAACCCATGGACGTGGCCCTTCCCACTACCGTAGTTGGCCCTGTTAACGGTGACTGTTCCACAGATCCACTAGAGAAACGGTCACCATCGCCGTCGCCGCCACCACGTTTTGATTCGCTTTCTCACCCCTCAGCCGCTTCTCCCACCATTTCACAGCTGAGGGAGGTTTCGAATGGGTTATTTTCATTCAGTAGGGAGGACTTATCACTGTCGTCGTCGTCACCTCCTCCTAAACGCACCGTTTTCCGGTATCATTCCTGTAAAAGCAAACCACCTTTAAACCATAGCGAAGCTAACCAAGTTCACTCCAGGACAAACGATTTGGGGTTCACTGAAAGGAAAATTCTTCAAGTCCCACCACAGGACGGCACGACCCTGGAACAGGGCCTTTCACCTTGTAGACGCGTTGTTCCTACGCCTGAAATTTTCATTCAGGAATTGCTCAATAACCCACTGCGATCAAACCGCCCCCGACTACTCCCACACGAGAAGTCTAGGAGACCCTGTGGTCTGCATGGCGGAGTGATGTCTCAGGATAGGGTCACTGCGTGTAAACCCGTGACGACGGAAGGGCCTCAATGGCAGTGGCTAGTGGACACCCGCGAACGAGTTCGTGGCAAACACAATGGCATGCTTGCGTTGCTCGAACAGCAACACGTCCCCTGTGCATCCTGTATGCTACCATGTGGGGACTTTATGCTAAACGTCAACGTGGGGACGTTTGAAGCTGAGGAAGACACCGCTCAGGACCAATGTCGGAGCGTTGATGCGAACAGCCGTGGTGGGGTCCAGAACGATGCGACATGGACTGTGCCTCAAGATTTGTCACAGTCGATATCAACTTTCTCCCTACCACTGTTTCCGTACCTTTGTTCGCTTGTTGTTGAACGTAAGACGGTAGCTGACCTTGATGCCAGTATTAAAGGCAATCGTTATCTTGAGCAGCGTAACCTACTTCTTCGCTCACGTTTCCAGCTCATAGTTTGGCTGATTGAGGGGTCAGAGGCTTCCAGCGGCAGAGGGCACCGTGGCAATGGCTCACCCTGCACCGTTAATGCAGGCAACAGTTTTTTTGGTCATGCTCAACGTGATCCCTTGCGTTCCAAACAACAACCCGATAAGGAGGGTGTCGGTGAGAAAATAACAGAATGCAGAGTACCGGACAAGCGTGACGGTCTTTGTGGGATTGAAACAGCTTTTTCTAGCCTCATTCCTGAAGGACAGCGGCGAGTATATTCGGCATGCATGTCGCTCACCCACCAACCCGGTTTCTGTGTTGTACGCACCCGGACTGTGCAGGAAAGCGTAACTTTCTTAAAACATTTGGGCGCTGCTGTGGCACACCAGGTGGCCCGTGCTCTAGCGACGGGGTCCACACTGGCTGTGGGTAGCTCTTCTTTCGCAACTCAATTATCTTCACCTTTTCCTTCGTTACTACCAACTATGCCGTCTCTGCAGCGTCTTCAGAAACTACAAAAGTCCTTGCGTGCTCAAACTGTATTTCCACGCATGCTCATGTGCATTCGGGGCTGCTCATCTGCTCTAGCGCAAACATTGTTCAATAAGTACGGTAGCTTCTACAACATCTGGAAAGAGCTTCAAGAGCGCGGTGCCTTGGCCTGTGATGAGGACGAAGATATTGTGAAATTGTCTGTGAGCCAGAAGAAAGTATTCGTACTTCTCACTGAGTTCATAATGTCGAGAGAATACTACTAAGTTCAGTCCTTTCCACGATTTAAGCATCGTGTTTCTTTCATTTAATAGGGTGTTCATTTAAAGTAATAGGAGAAAGGCGCAGTTTTCTTATTAGAAAGCCTATTTTCTTTTTCTAGAGGGTCCTGTGTTTGGTGCCGTTACACGTATTATATTTTTCCTAGATGCATAGCTTTGATGTCACTCATTTTCTTTTATTCTTATATATTATTTATTTGAATCACATTGCTTGTGTTAGATTTTTATTAGATTAATTGTTTCTCGAGATTGGAATTTAAACTGTCCTCATGTTTGCTTTGTGTAAGCCAGCTAAAGTTTATTTTATGAAATTATTTAAATGGAAACAGCTTCCGACCTTATTTTATAATAATATTTCTTGAATACCGTAGAGCTTTGAACTCTTTTTATTGTTTGTTTGTTTCCCTTCTTTCATTATTCCTTATATTGTATTTACAACAGTACAGCTGCGGTGTAATTATTATCGCTACATATAAGTACATTTCCCCCCCAAATCGGTAGTAACACCATAGTTAAGATTTTTACTCACGTTTTCGCTTACTATAGAATTCGTTCGAAGGAACTGAGTCGGAAAAATCACCTTTGATCTCAGGGTGTGTTTTCCAACCGGTATTCCGTTTTGCCTCCTGTTCCCATACATCCTAAAATTTAATGCCTAGAGATGATGTCCCAGTCCTAATGTCAGTCGTAGACCCACCACAGCAACCATTTCCGCATCTCCTTTCTACTTCTTCCCCTGCTAGTGATTTGGCGTTTATGACCCCTGCTACTCAGACCGATTTACCCTTCAAATGTAATTTCCAGCTCTGGAATGATATGCTACCCGACGCCATGTCGGTAGCTCTGTCAAAGGACCCCGTACCATCCACCGAAAGTTTTCGACAAATTGATAGCATACATCAAAAGGCGGCTGAATTAGCCTTGGTAGTACCTCCCACCCCAACTCCCCGTCTATTTTCATGTACTTTTCCCTTTACTCGCCAGAGGGGCTTCCCTCAAGAGCAGCACCCAAGTCAGCAAACTGCAGCTACGTCGTCCTCAGTCTCACAGCTGCAGGGTCCCCGTTCGCATCGTACTCAATTAAATTTTACCAGTAACGTTCATCATAACGACTTAAACACTAATACCATGCCTGTTGTCGTGTCGAACGGTGGGCTCTCCTCTTCAACACCTGTGCTGGGGACTGCTTTGTCTCTTTGCCCTGTTCCAAATCCACCAGTCCACCCGCCGAAGCCCTCCCAGGACCCACCCCAGCTATCACTTGAAGAATTGAAGGCGACCATCAAGGTTGTATCACAGGAGCTGCGACAGGCTCAGTACCAGCGAGATGAATTTTTGTTAGCCGAGGATGAGGAGCACGATCACACCGCTCAGCTCAATCAGTTGGATGCTTGTATTCATAAGCTACAGGAGCAATTTACGCGCCTGCGGCTCTCACTTTCAGAGCGTCTGCAAAGACCAACATTGTCCCCCTCGGCTTCATCCATATCCCTCGTAGGTAGCCCTCGAAACATCTCCTTAGTTTCTACAGATCTCCCTTCCTTTAGTTCTGCAAACCCTCGTCCCACTGTCAGTAGCGACACGTCGGGCTTCCTGATGTCTCCGAATCAGCCTACTCATCTGCACTCTATTCCATCTCAGACGGCCATGTTTGCTCACGCTGCGGGTTCTACTAGCGCGAACTGGTGCCATGGTGAGACCTCTCCGAGATTTAGTAACGCGTGCTCTGCCAATCCTTCTAATGGTTTAGACACTCCTAACTTTAGTCATGTCAGTTATGGAGGCACCAACGCAGACAGGGTGCTAGACCAGGCCCCAGGAGCGCCGTGGTCCACCAGCAATGGTATCATGAGCGATGACTACAACCCTAGCGGCAGCACGATGAGCTACCCGGACGGTAGGCCACCATTGGGCTTGGGCAGTTGGTCTGGCATTTCTTTGAATCCTACATTGGATGTGTCGAATAGTGGAACAGATTTTGATAGCGGTATACAGGAGAGGGGTGTCATGCACACACTTGACATCCCACAAGCTCAACCAATGTCCTACACGCCCTCTAACGGGTTTTCTTGGGAGCAGTACGAGCGGAGTGAGGTTGGACATCTTAGCCGGGATGCCATTTGCTCGACCGCGGACGTGGTGCTTCCAGTCAACCCTATACATGAATACGGTGGTGAACGTTTTCCCTGGTCTTCTGAGCTGCGTCATACAATGCGTGATGTTTTCGGGCTTCACGACTATCGTTTTCATCAGCTTGAAATTATGAACGCCTGTATGGACAATCGAGATGTCTTTGTGCTACTTCCCACCGGTGGTGGGAAATCACTGTGCTACCAATTGCCAGCACTACTGCCCAACCCGGCTCAGGTTACTATTGTTGTGTCTCCGCTCATTTCACTCATCCAGGATCAGGTGTATGCTCTCATCGCCAACGACATCCCGGCTATGGCCTTGACAGGGCAGACCTCTGACGCGCCTAGGCGATCGCTCTTTTCGGAGTGGGCCTCCGGTCGCATCATCCACACACTGGTGTACGTCACCCCAGAGTACTTCGGCCGCAGTGATCACTTTGTGCAGACGCTTCGGCGGCTTGCTGATCAGCGTTTACTTAATCGTTTTGTTGTCGACGAGGCCCATTGTGTGTCGCAGTGGGGTCACGACTTCCGCCCCGACTACCGCAAACTGGCATTACTGAAGCGACACTTCCCAGATACTTCCATCACTGCCCTTACAGCCACTGCCACAGGGTTGGTGCAGCAGGACGTCATTAAGACCCTTTCGTTACGTAGCGCTGTTATCTTTAAGGGTTCATTTAATCGTGTTAATCTCAAGTACTCTGTCCAGCGGGTTGTTGGGAAGCAAGTGGCACCTGTAGTGAAAGATCTCATTCTACACCGCTTTGGCCCAAAGAGCTGCGGCATCGTTTACTGCCTCTCGCGAAAGGACTGCGAAGAAATGGCTACCGCGCTCAATGCCTCTGGTATTCGTGCTTCTTTCTATCATTCTGAAGCATCAGGAAAAAATGAGAAACAAGAGCGGTGGACACGAGATGAGTTACAAGTGATTTGCGCAACTATAGCGTTTGGCATGGGTATCAACAAGCCAGACGTGCGTTTTGTCATCCACGCCGCTATGCCGAAGTCGATTGAAGGGTATTACCAGGAAAGTGGCCGTGCAGGACGCGATGGTCTTCCTTCCGAGTGCGTGCTTCTCGCCTCTTCGAACGACTGTTTACGACACCAACGTCTTATTTACGGCTCAAAGGACTGGAAGGCTTCGTTGTTATCGCTTTATCGTATGCTGAGCTACACTCTCAACGACGTGGATTGCCGGCGGCGACAGCAACTAGGCCACTTCGGCGAGGTTGTGGATTCACATTTCTGTCTTACGCAGCGCGCGGTCAACAGCAGTCGTTCACTAAACACCGTTGAGTCCCGAGCAGAATTATGCGACAATTGCGCAAGCAAGCATAACGAAGGATGGGAGACAAAGGAACTGTGCATCAACCACATCCTCATCGATTTTTTTCAAATTCTTGTGCATTTGGGAAGCATGACGGGAAAACAGCTCGTCGCAGTTTATCGTGGGACTAACTCTGATATGGGCAAAACAGTGGAAGCCCGGTTGCGACAGAAGGGTCCACCTCCTGAATACAAAAGCGGCGCTAAGTTGTCAAAGACGTTGATTGAACGCGTGTTGTTGGAAGGTCTGGTCCTTGGAGTTTTCAAAGAGCGGCTCGACAACGTGAACGACTATGCAGTATGCGCGTATGTCGAAACGGCGGACTGTACTGGGATAAAGACGTATCATGAGATCAGAGACGGGAAGCGGAAGATCGTTATTCACCTGCGAGGGGATGCTCCCAAATTGTCCACTAGGGTAGTGACAACTGGCAAACCTGAAATCGCCAACACTGGCCCTATAGACCACTCTAACATAAATGCAGAGAAGTCTACAAAAGTCCGTAGTAGAAGAATTCACAAAGGAAAGGACTCGGAGTTCAACCAGGGGGCTGGTGATACTACCGATATTCCCCTAGCCCATCTTTACTCCGACCCCCACAACCCCAACTTGCGTCTGCGGGATTCTAAAGAAGGTGACCCCAAGCGGAATAGAAGTCAACAAGGGAAAAAACAGGTAATTTCTCTTGATGGCTCTGTTTTAGCGGTTGAGTGTGGGGATCACCCGGCCTCTTCGCACTCTCGTCCGCGTGGTGGCGGCAGAGAGGGTAATGGGGCATCCACGTCCCTGTCCTCCACACGTGATCGGAGGCCTCACGACCATCACGCGCATTGTGAGTCTCACTCAAAGAAGAGGGGTGGAAACCGTTACGTGATTGATAAGTGTAGCGACAACGAGAGCGCGAGCTCCCTTACCTATGATGAGGGCAGCGATACCATTTCTACAAATAGTAGCTTTGAGGATGATTCGTTTATTAATGATGATTCTTCATCATCCTCTAACTCCCGGCTGCCGTCTTCGGACCCGGCAGCGAAGACCACACCCGCCTGCTGCCCGGCGGAAAAGCAGTGGACCCGTGGTGGGACCAAGCGACCTCGGGGTTCCACCGTTACAACTGAAGTCGAATCTAGCATTATATCTCTCCATGATACACCAGTTAAACATTCCGCAGTTATGCACCCCCACAAGCGCAAAAGAAAAGGCGTAGTTAACGAGAAGCAGGATGGCCCCCCGCATCTGGTTTCATCTCTGCCGACTGCTCTCCTCAAACGTCTACAATCGACTCTCTTGCCACAGCTCGAATCGCTTGTGCATCGGCTTGCTGAGAGTTCTGAAGGCGGGCGGCAGTACAACGTCATGCCGAGGAAGACCATCCAAACATTGGTGGAGACCCTTGGCGAGCCAGGCTGGGGTAGTGTCGAACAGTTCACAGACCTAGAAGGGATGGGCAAGAACAAGGTCAAGAAATTTGGCGCCGATATTCTGAGGCTTTATCGACAATTTCGTTTTGAGCACATTGGTGACGTCAAAGAGCTAACAGCGAAGGAGGAGGAGTCGCTCAAACAATTGAGCACAACTGTAGCGGCGCGTCATCGACTACATCGCGCTAATGTAGCTAACGCAGGTCTTATAATCACTGATGAGGCTCTTAGAGATCCAAACACCTCACCAGGGAAGGTTGTGAATGCGTCGAATAGTGTTTCTGTCTCCACCACTTTCCAGCCTCCTCATTTTCTTGATCCCAACACGCCAGAAAAACCCCTGAATACGTCATCCCACACGAGGGGCGAGCTGGGGACCCCGGTTCAAACCCCGCCGATGAATCCACCGCGGTTTTCGCCCGCTAAGCTATCGGTTCCCATTACCGCAGCAGTAGTGGTGCCACACCGCACGACCTTTTCCTTTACGTCCAGGCCGTGTCCACACCCACTTTCGAACCCAGTGAACACAACGATTGCTACACCCCCACGGCAACCCTCAGAGGCCACGGGTGCCGTCGTGGCTGCAGGAACGGCCACTCCACAGTATACTCACCTTCCGTATCCTCCGGACGCGGCTTCGGTGACCACTGCCGGCGCCACCATGAATCCGTCGTCTACTACTTTGGGCATATCCGATTCACCACCTGTTTTACCCTTTCAAAAGGCTACCCAACAATCGGTGCCGCTTTTCTTAAATCCCTTTGCGGAGCAAAAAAGGCGGCCGACCATCCTAACATCCGAGAGCCCTTCCATAGGTCGTGCGTTGTATCCCATGGATGATGTCATCGGTAGTACACCGAATCCCATATCAGGCAACTCTATCAACAGCTTTGTTCCGCTAAACCCCGTCGCTGCCAAACGACCGCCATTGCAGTCAATTCCACAGGTGCCTCCGAAGCCCCAGGCTGCCGCGGTGGGGATCCCCTGCTCTCTAGATAAGGATGCAAATGGTGTCGATTATCTCATGATGATGTGTGATGAATCCCTCCTTCGCACCCCTCTTAACAGCCTTAGTACACCTTCAGCCTCTGAAGTGGGGAGGTTGAGTACCTCCAACTTGGCCCTTCTACACGATGGTAGGGGCAGGTCAAGTGGTGGGGCTGAGGCCATGTCATCCTCGGAGCGTCTTCTTTTCCAGGACACTGATCACCGTACTTCTTTGAATGCTGTCAACGAAAGGAGAGGGAAACCGAGGGCGGTGGTAGAATGTAATACTTCCACTGAAATTTCGGAGTCGCTTCCACCATCAATGGCCGTGATCGATGCGATACCATTTGTGCCCCACCGCAAGGAATCCGAAGTCTTCACAGTTGAAGATGAGGGCGACTAGATAGGGCATCTTGGTTGCACACTGCTGCCGAGAATGTGTTAAAGGGAAGAAAGGAACTACAATGTTACGAATTTTAATTTCCTTGTCGTTTTTTTTTTATTATCTTTTCCCTGCTCTTGCGGTTTGCCTTTTACATTCGACGTGAGTGTTTTCGTCTGACGAAATATCCCGAAGTCATATTCGCATATGAGTTTTTTCCCTTTAAACTGCACCTTCTTCTTCCATCCTTTGACTACCTGTCTGTTTGTGAGATTCAAATAAACAAAAGGAAATGCTGTGAGAATACAGAATAGGGGATGGGAAGAATGTGGAGGAAAAAAGCCATAGGCCTGTGTTTTAATTACGTAACCGAACACGTCCACACACGAACGACTACGAAAGGGTATGCATCATTTCTTTTCACTGTTCATTTCTTAATATTTGAACAGTTGCATGTTATTTTGTCCGTGGATGGACGTAACTGCTCTTTTATTTAAATAAATGTTTTGTGTTACTATGGGGTTTCTTTTGACAAGGGGTTGAACTATATATTCTTTTTGTTTATATCTGTGTATATTGCTCTGAGAGGCTATTCTTTCTGGTCTCATTAAGAAAGGTAAACCATCCTATAGTGTATATTTTTCCCTATATATTGAAGAAATAAAGGGACGTAAAAGACGTAAAATTTGAATCCGAGTTTACACAAAAGGGTCCTAGGGCTTGTATAATATATTCAAAAAGATAAAGGTATTATACTGCATTTAGCATCGTTAAATAGATACAAGGGCACAATGATTAAGGCAGTTATTCTCATAAACAGCATGGGCAAAATTAGGCTGATCAATTTCTATGAGAAGCAGATTGGGTTTGTGCAGCAGCAGGCACTTGTTCGAAGTATTTACCGTATAATTTCTAATCGCAGTGACGAGTTATGCAATTTTATTGATTCGTTCACCGAGTGGCCGACTGCTGATACGCAGATTATTTACCGTCGTTATGCGACGCTTATATTTGTTTTCGTGACTGACTCATCAGAGTCGCAGCTTGCGATTTTAGATCTTATCCAAGTCTTTGTGGAAGTCCTAGACCGCACTTTTGAGAATGTCTGTGAGTTGGATTTTATTTTTCATTCTGAAAAAGTTCAGCATGCACTCATGGAGATTATCATGGGGGGTATGGTTCTGGAGACATACCGTGAAGAAATTATTCGAGGGTTGTCTGATATGGCCAATCTGGCTGCAGCTAAGACAGCTACTTTAGGAGGGGTGAGTAGGAGGTTAATCTCGGGATATAAGTAGGTGTGTGAAGAGTAATCTGAGGAAGGAGATAGTACAAGGGTGTAGTTCAATATTGTACTGCCTGTGCTGTGTGTTCACGCTTTTTTATTATTAAAAAGGTTAATATAAAGAAGCAGCTGACATGCATTTTTTTTTCGTTTCAATGATCCTAAACCTTATTAGAATTTTCATTGATTACATGTGTGGATATGGATATATATATTGAACACTTTGCCTTCCAAAGAAATCCCTTTGTAACCCCAAGGATCAAACACGAGAAAGGGAAACTGTTATAGCAAAAGCATTAATAGTAATTTTTATATTATTAATAATAATAATGAACAACTGTAGTGACACTTTGCATTCCATCCACACCGATGACTTTCCAACAGAGACGATGCTTCAGGAGTATTTTTTAAACCAAACGGATCATTTTTCTGATGAGATCGTGCAACGATGTGCGCGCCTAGACCGTCGTGCGGATGGTGTAAAGCACACCATTCTTCAGTCCATGGCCTCAGCCCGCGCGATGCAGCTCTTACCCTGCTTCCAGTCCATCTGCTTGACGCGGGCTCGACAGATTCAGCATCAGCGTTCCCAACTTGTGCAGACCCTACAGCAGTACGCCCAGGAGCTCATGTCAAACAAGTCATTACCGTTTACATCCGGCGTGCAGGATGGAGTGGGCAGGCGCAACGCCCATCACGAGGCCCGCTCCTGCTCCAATTTGAAGGTGGTTTGGGGGGCCGTGGAGGCCGAGATGAAGCGAGAGCCTGCGTATTACCAGGTCCCACTGTGTCCTTCAACCGAAGCCTTGGAGACCTTTGCCACCGAGGCGGTGGGTAAACGCCGGCTCCACGAGACGTTAGCGATCGCGTTAGGCCACTCCACCCCTCCGGGCGCAACCCCAGTCAGGGAAGAGGTTGGCTCCAGCGATAGTTTGACACCAAAGACGGCGGTAGTTCAGGAGGCTCTGGGGTGGCTGCTGCGGTGCATACGGCATACACCGGTCACTTCACCCCATGGAACCCCCACGGCGGGTTCAAACGTACCGACAGAGGACCTTTTCACTACGAACGGTCTTAACGAAGAAGAAGAAAGGCCCGGAGTGCGAGGTGCGGTGGATCCAGCGGATAATGGTAGGCGGACTTTCGAGGATTACGATATCCGGGCAGACTCGCCTTCGCCCAATGGACTGTCTTGCACGTTAAATTTACCCTTGTTTGTGTCTTTGACACAATACTGTTCGGATGCGCCGTGGGCCAGTCCCGGCACGCCACTCGCGGACCTGAAGGAGAAGAAGACTCAAGGACAGGAGGCGGCGGGGGAGGACTCCACGTTGGGCTTTCTTTTCGAACCTCCTACCTGTGCGGTGGAGTCCACCTCTAGTAAGCCTCGTTTGATCGATCAATCCCATATGGAGACCGCCGGGGATGGTGACAACGACTCGGATGAGCGGCACCAAGTGGGGTCTTCCCAGCAGCAGCGGCTCACATTCGACATCGTTAGAGTTCTGACGTGTGCCGTGGACGCGGCGTGGACCAATGTTACGACGACGGTCACAGATTACCTTACTAAACTGGGGTTTTTCAAGCAAATAGATGGTATAACTTCTGACAATGCAAGTGGGGACGACCAGGACTTATTATGGAGTGTTGAGCAGCTTATGGACGTGTTACGGATTGCGTATGCCGTTGAGCTGGCAGCGCGTGTGTTGGCTTTGAGAACATCAATGCAAGTTATGATTGAAAGTGACTCTGCCGCGTTGTTTGATTCGATTCGTGCAAGTAGTTTCATCCTTGCGGCGCCATGTGTCACTACAATCCGGCAAGACCCCCCTGGACCCGGGTCACCCCCCCTTGTTAGTACGCAATCTAGCGCACCTCCTGAAACGAGTCTATCCAGCCTTGAGGCGTATCTTGAGGGGATCGGAAAGAAGTCAATAGGGGCCACGCTCGTCCCAATGACAGTTTTGAATTTGCCGGGAATCGAAAGTGTATTTTACTG